CTGGCTCAGGAGGGAGTTAGCTTTGACTGCTCAAGATTCACGTCGAAGGGGCACAGGCGGTTCGGTGGATCAGATCATGCCTTAGTTTATATGTTGCGTCTATGGAGGTACAGTGGGTACAAGGTTTACCTACAAGCTAAAGAGTGCTAGGGGGCATTTTGTTAGTCATGAAAGGCCATGCCGACCTATGTCATGCATTCATGCATTTTAAATGGCTAAATTATATATTGTATTGAATTTATTATTTGTTTATTTGATTATGGCTTACTTTGTAATAATCAATGTAAATTTCTCTGTTATTGAGACTATGGTTGTCTCACCCCTTTCTTTTCAATATTTCCAGGTCCAGGCGAAGAAACCAGTGAAGGACGGGAAAAGGAGTAGAGCTAGGGATTGTTTGTGAATTGTAATGAACTGCAACCCCTTTCTTTGAGTAAATCTATTATAATGTATTTAGGATTAGGGTGCCAATAAGATGTGATTATGCATATGTGTGTGAGTATATGTGGATTGTATGGCTTGTGTATGAATTTTTGTTTGCTTGTAGACTTATGGCTAGAAAACTTGGCTATGGTGTGTGGTTTTGATGGATTTATTTAGTAGACTAAATTTTCACTATAAGAAAATATTTATTTCGGAATATATGTGATTTCACAAGCAAATACAAAGTGGTTGCATTACAAATGGTGTGTTAAGGGCAAACATACACCTTGGATAGAGAGAGTGGGTGTGTAGGCTCCATAGATATCTCTGAGTCAAGTGAAAATGTTTAGCGTGTGTATTCATATGTGTAGATGATATTTGGAATAGTTTTGGGCCACTCTTGTGTGATTTTTGCATGTTAGGGGTTTAGGGTCCATTTTATTAGGTGTTTTTAGTCCTATTTGACGTGTCCAAAGTTTTTTCATAGGTTTGTGACTATTAGGATGAGATTTGGATAATTTTGAAAATGATTTTTACCAAAAAACTGTACTTTTACATCCGAGTGTCCAAATCTCAATCCGACCATTGGATTTCTCTAAAATTTGGGTCACAAGTAAAACCTTTTATAAGTTTCATGTGGGCTTTAGAATCACATCGATCAGACATCGGATGAAAAAATGGCACACTCTAAAATTTAATCCGGAAGAGTTGTCATGACAGCAAAAGTGCTATCATGACAGCAACAGGGATGATGTTGCAATATGCATAAAATTTAATCCATCCATTGGATCTTTTCAAAATTTGGTATGCTAATAATACTCTTTAAAAGTGATATGTGGGCTTTAGAATTGCTCTGATCGGAGGTCGGATGATGAAATGTTGCACTCCGAAAGTTAGTCCGAAGGTGCTGTCTTGATAGCTAAATAGCAAAAATGACCAAACTTGTAACAAGTCTAATTTTTAATTCAACTATTAGATCTTTTTAAAATTTGGTACACTTATAGTAACCTTTGAATGTGACGTATGAGCTTTAAAATTTCTTCAATTGGGAACTAAATGACAGAATGGCGCCTCCTAGAAGTTGGCACGAGAGGGCTGTCATGATAGCATCTTTTTATCCTACTTTCACCTAGCTCGCTTCCGTGCTATAGGTAAAACATATAAATTTTTTTATTTAAAAAGTTTTAAATATTTATTTTGCAATCATGTATCTACTTAGTGATTTAAATGGTTTGTTTTCTAAGTTGGTTTTAGGATTAACTCTTTAACCACAATTTATTTGAATTATGCGATTTTTGGATAACACTCAAGGCAAGTGTTACACAAATGCAATATAATATAACAATGATAAGTTTCAACATCAATATATCAATGATATTCAATAGTATATCAATTAAGATATGTTTAGTTATTACCTCCATGTGTCTACCAAGCTCTATTTGCTCGGACAACTGTTTTTCAGCCCATACTGTTAGATGAGAAGATATAGAATTAGAATGCATCCTTTGTGTATAAAACTAGTCCTGGAGCTTGTTCCTAATAAACTCAATCAATGGTATAATCGGTAGGTCCCTTGCATCATCTAGAGTAGAGTTCATACTTTTTAATATATTAAAAGTCATAATATCATACCGTCTCCTTATAAAATAACAACATGATTACTTTTCATAACCCATATCTAGAAGGTAATCATGAATGCTAGGTGTCACTTGATCTAATTTCTTCATCTCACGTTGAAAATTAGAAAACTTATATACCCTAGCACAATGGTTGAAGATACCGGCAACTAAATGGTGTTTGAACTTTGTTCTTATATTACCCAACAAATGTTGTACACAAATACAATGGGTAGCATCAGAAAACACATGAAACACAGCCTTTGGGATACTACTTTTCCTATCTGAAACAAAGACTAGGTCTTGACAATAACATAATGCACTCTTCAACTTATACAGAAACCATTCCTAAGAAGCATCAGTCTTTGAGTCAACAACTGCAAATGCTAATAGAAAGATTGAATTATTTTCATCCATAGTACATGCAATTAGAAGAGTCCCCACATATTGGTTCCTTAAAAAAGTTCCATCAATGGATATAATTGGTTGAAAATGGCTCCATCCCTCAATAGAAGCAGCAAATGATATAAAGAAATACTTAAAATGACCATTACCACCATCTTCAATAGCAGTAATAGTTCCTGTGTCATATTATTAACAATTAGACAACAAAGTAGGATATAAAACATAATTACTATCTAAATAACATAATATATTTAATTCAATTATTATTTGAATATATCATTAATAAACGAATGTATATAAATGATAAATACGTATCAGGATTTGTGTGACTCAAAGTATAGCACAAAGGAAGGTAATTGGGCATAAGAGTCCTCCGGACAACCTTGAATTGCTTCCAAAACAAGTTCTTTTGCTTTCCATGACTTGTAATAACTAACACCAACTCTAAATTCCTTACGCATGTGCTTAATTATTGATTTTGGATCATTACATTTTCCATCAATGACTTTTTGCTTCACACATTCACTAATGATAAGGCTTGTTGCTTGCCTATGGTCACCATACATGACGTCAACAGTGCAAATATGGTTCTTTACATATCATCTAATAATCCAAACCTGAGTAGAAGAAATTGTTGAGGCCCGTTCATACCACTTACAACCATCAACAAGCCTTTCACTATTTGATTTTAGAGTTTTGTATTTAAAATTCCTCTTTATAGCTACCAATTACACAACTTTTTTGACTTCCAATTTGCTAAAGAATGCATCTCCCTCCTTAATATCATCCATTTGCAAAAGTTCATCAGGTCTACTACAATTCTTGTTGTTGGTAAATGTAGAAGAATATGAAGTTAAGGAACTATCTCCTTCATGGCAAGGTTCAAACACTTCTTGTATAGAAAAAAGTCCATCAAAAATAGAGACAATCAATGTGAAGTTAAAGAGATTAGAATTTCTCAGTGAATTAAAATACCATATCAAATTATTGTCATTCTTCACCTCTAAACTACTATATGTTGAAGTTTCAATATCAAAAGAGACCATCAATTTGACCTTATGACTTGCATTCAACCGCAATTTCTTATACACAATTTCCATGACATCAAGATAGGAAGTTTTATCTTCCACAAGCACCTCCAAGTATGAACCATCCATGTAACGGTTGTTCAAATCCCATTTTTCATCATAAAAAATTATGAGATTAAGCATCCCCATATCTACAAGATGGCATAGTGTTGGTAAGTTAACACTGATATTACTTATCAATGAGATACTATAGTATATAAATGATATACTAACGTTAATCAGAAACACGAAAATGCCATACTCCTTCACCCAACTTAGATTAAACTAGGTTCAAAAAAAATTACAGACATCTTAATTGATCATAGAAAATCAAATACCCAAAATAAAAAAATAAAAATCATGAACAGTGAAAAAATAATATGTTTTGTATTCGAAATTCAGGCAAATTACATAATCAATGATAAAAAAAATAGATTAGAAACAGATGATTTACTGATTCAATGAATATATTACCTGAATATATGAAGATGATGGAAATTTGATTATGGATGATTCTCTTCAACCTCCAGATAAATGAATACAAGATAATTTCTATTTGATAATGCAGTTTCCTGTTCAATGTGATAATAATATTTAGAAAAAATAGAGAAGATAAATAGAGAGATGCAAGCATTGTATGATAAGAAACGTTCTACGAACTCTGGTAAAGATGGTAAAAATAACCGTATGGATGGAGAAATAAAATCAAGGAAAATCAGATAAAAATAACATCAGTTATATCCTATTTTAATAAAAAAAAACCGAATAGATTTGAGGACAAAGGAGTAAAAACACATTTAATTTATTTTTGAATGGGCCATATTCCAAAATATTCAAAAACTTCTTTCATAATTTATGAAAGTTATATTTTTTGAGGCCATTGAGCAAATTTTTCTAAAAAAATTTAAGGTTAGGCTTAACAAAATAATATTTTTTACACTAAATAGGCTCAAAAAAATTCAAGTTAAACCCGATCAAGTTTGAGCTTTGCTCAAATACCCAAATAATTTTTTTATATTTTTTTAAAATATAATATTATTAATTTTTTAAGTTTTAGGTTATTTTATACTAAAATGATATATATTTGAGTTTATTACTATTTATATTTTTTAAAAAATTTTAAAAATTTTAAAATTTAAATTTTTATTATTCTTAATCTATAAGATATCTCAAAATAATATTTAAAATACATTTTAATATTTATTTTTAGATTTTAATACTCACATATTTTTTTGAAAAGTTTTTTGAATTCTATACATTATTTAAGTATTTAAAAAAATATTTTATATTTTTATAAAAAATAATTAGATTCAAATAAAAATTTTTAATTAAAAATAATTTTAAAAATAAATTTTGAGTATCCAGTCGCTTGAATCTTGAAGAAATTTGGGCTGGATTTGACATTCAGGCTTTTCAAAAAGGTGGGACTGTTCAGGTTCAGCCCCAAACTTCTGGCTACACTTTGAGCTTACAAAAGGTCATTTGCGCCATAATTATGTTGTTAAGGCCCAATATTCTCAACGCACCGCGACTCTCCTTCTCGCCTCCGGACACCACCGTTGGTTGCGCCAAAAGCAGGTGAACTGTGTTTGCAAGCTTAACCTGTTGCGGAAAGGCTTCATATCAGTACTCAAGGTTTGAATCAATTTTCACTTGGAAGTCTTCTTGAGTTTGTCAAACAAAAGAGATGGGTAAAGCGAAGAAGGGCCCCAAATTTGCGGTCATGAAGAAGCTCGTCACCGCCAAAGCAGTCAAAAAGTGAGATATATAAATTTTGCGCCGTGCCTGCTCCTTGGAGTTTCGTAGTTATTTGGCATTCATGATTTTTTTCTTTGGTATAAACCGTATGTTGTGTTAAATTCAGTTATAAAGAAGAGGTGTTGAACCCTAAGAAGAAGGACCTTAGCAAGGAAAAGTTGCCCAGAAACGTGTATGTACTTATGCTGACTATTCTTTGAATATTAAACCTTATAATTGTGAGACCTTTTTCGTGACCTTTGTTTCAATTTTCATGATGAAGCCCTTATTATCCTTATCGCTGTTCTTTGCACACAACACTGATTTGGGACCTCCTTATCGTGTTTTGGTTGACACCAACTTTATCAATTTCTCCATTCAGAACAAAGTGAGTGCGCCCCCTTTTTTAAATGATTTTATCGTGGCTATTATTTTTGTTCATGTTTTTAGTAATTGGCCTAGGATGCCAATTGAATTAAATTTTGTGCGGATGATCAGGTTTCTGATTTTGCAAGCTCATCCTCAAAAGACTGTAATTATCTGTCTTTTCCTTATTAGAACTATAATGTTTAGTAACTTGACATGTGGTGGCCATAAAATTGCTAGTACAATAGTCACTTTCCTTTGAATAATCTGTGATGTGGTGTGTCACGTAAACTTTTCTTTCACTATGTAGCTGGACTTGGAGAAGGGAATGATGGACTGTTTATATGCGAAATGTAAGTTTTAAGCAAGCTGCTATCTGTCTCTTGTTAACTTATTCATGTGGTGAGAGTTTTGGGTTCTAATACATTTATTAGCTATTAAGTTGCTTTTATAGCCCTTTTTAGAAGGTAAAACATACTATTGGTTGTTTCATTTCCCAATGACACATTCAAACTACTTGTATTTTGGCATCCAGGTACTCCTTGTATCACAGATTGTGTGATGGCGGAACTTGAGAAATTAGGTCAGAAATATCGTGTGGCTCTCAGGTAGGTGTTTTGTCTTTTGCTTTTTTACATTCGTATAAATTATTTGTTTGTTGTATATTCTCATATCTTGGCTGCACCTGTAATATCAAAATTGTTATTTGCTTCCCCTGCTTGTTCTGGCTTGTTGCATGTTTATAGTTTGCTATTTTATTTCCTCATGCTTTGGCTTAAGTACACTTTGTCCTTTGCAATTTGGAAAGTGTCATTTTGCTTACATAAGGTTTAGTTCTTTAGTTGCCTGTTCACTTCATAATAATAAATGCATGAGTTGAACGTCCTGTGTTCCTAATTTCTTGTCTGAAATCCTAATTTCAGAGAGGAAAAGTTACATCAATGCAGCTTCTGATACTAAAGGACTAACCCACAAGGAACCAAATAACATTTTTGAAACCGTGAAATGATAGATTGTAAATCCACTGGGTTTCTCTAATTATTTCTTCTTTTTATCAAAGTGTAATTATTGACCGTTTTTATAATAAAGGCAATGACACGGCATAGTAGTGAAAAGAAACCACTGACTCTTTTGTTCTAGCTCACTTTTTGAGGAGCTGATTTATCAAATATTTTCTATCTATGTGGCAGGATTGCAAAGGATCCTAGATTTGATAGGTTACCCTGTACTCACAAAGGGACCTATGCAGATGATTGCATTGTTGAGAGAGTGACTGAGGTGTGACTTATTTTGTAATTTCTATTTAATTTTCCTTTCAGAATCTCCCAGAGAAACTTGATTATTACAGTTTTCTTTGTTTTTGATGAAATTTTAAATGTATTCTAGTATCTAAAATAATCTTTAATTATTGAGGCTTCAAGAACCATCTGTGTTCTGTATTTATTCCATGCATTTAGGGTTTATGGGGATGGGGCTAAGAATTTAAAATATGACTTTATTTGTTTATTTCAAGCATGTGAAACTTAGCATTCTTGTTATATGGAAATCGAGTGCTTTTTAGTGAGACATCTTTGGATCTTTCTGTGGTGTGCTTATCAATCCAAGAGCTTTCTAAAAAAGTGGTGGCATGGTTGGTTCCATGAGTATTGGCTGGTGGCAATTGTTTTCCTAGTATTATCTGACATGTTTCAGAAGCCTTAATTGCTTATATTGTACTCCCTCTAATTCTTTTTGTACGACACTTTCAATATGCATCTTAAGAAAATTAAAATTTTTTTTCTCAATATCATTAAAAAATGAGATATGCTTTTATTTTTACTCTTGACATTAATTAATGATACAACTCACGCCGAAGCTTTAAATACCTTCTCATAAACAACACATAATTCATCTCAAGTTAATCAAGGAAGGGTAAAATTGGAACAAATGATTTAATTATTACAAATTGTCCTATATTTTGTTTCAAAATTTATTTCTAGAAGGTGTTTTGCAATTAGGACTGGACAAAGTATTTTATTAGTTAATTGGTATCCATCTCTACCGTTGAAATGCAAAACTGAACCAAAAAGATATTGTCATGTTTAAATAGGGTTGTCTTTCTAAACCACCCCCCGCCCCCAACACAACAAAAACCTTTTTTTTTTTTTTTTTTGAGTCTATGGGTAGCTGATACCGTAAGTGCATATCATTCTGTAATAGTTGCTTCATCCTATCTCTTGGTGTGCTGTTTCTTATTTATGAACTCAGCACTACTAATTCGAATTGCCCTCAATTTAAATGGATTAAAGTGGGTAGTTTTATTAAAGTGTGGCTGGGTATATGAGTTTTCTGCTTGCTTAATTATTGTTCTTTTTATCCTATTCACCACGAAGCATTTTGTCGGGTGCAGTTTAGGTGCTTCATTGTTGCAACATGTGATCGAGACTTGAAGCGCAGGATTCGCAAGGTAAGGCGAAGAATTGTTATTCTACCTTCCATTATTGAAATTGGACTTTAAATTGGGTTTTGGTGCAGATTCCTGGTGTACCAATCATGTACATCACTAAACACAAGTATTCAATTGAGCGCTTGCCGGAGGCAACAATTGGGGGAGGTAAATAGATATTCAGAAGCTTTACTTACAAACGAAGAAGGAAACCTTATTTAAAAAAAAAAATAAATAAATAAATAAAAGTGCCCTGTTTGTTTGTTTGACCTATCCTATCTTGTAGTTTAAGTCCGTTTGATGTTGAGATGCAAAATCTTCATTTTAAGTCTATCTCATTGCTCATTAGGGGCTTATTTGGATGGTGAAATGGGAAAGGGAATAAAATGAAAGAAAATTGATCTTTTTTAATTTGTTTAGATGCGAAATGTCATATATTTCCTTAGATAAAAATTAATAATAAGAGGAAATAGTTGTTATTAAGTAATAATTATAGTATATAATAGATATTTCACATCTTATTTGCCATATGTGATGGGAAATGGTCACCTTTCTTCAGTGTAAACCAAACGGAGCCTAGGGTTTTTGATTCAATTTGGCATAGACATACTGTAGCTATGGATATGGCCTTCAGCAATTACTTATAATTCTAAAATTCTAATTCTAATAGTTAGAATATGATATAAACGTACAGCATATTATCGCTTTTATTCTATAAGGTCTACTTTAAACGATTTAGGAAAATATTGATGCTTTATTGGCATTAAAACAGTGAAGCTTCAGCTGAGATGAGCTTAATGTCTTGCTATATTAAGACTGACGTTTTTTTTTAAAAAAAAAAATTTTCTGGGTCTTGTATGCCTGAACTTATTGAGTCCTCCTAAATGGGGGGAAAGGAATTAAGACTTTGGCAGTTAATAATCAAGTTCCTTATTATCCAGTCAGTAGTCATGAATAGCAAATGATCATTAATCCCCTGGGCAAGTTAAGACCTTTTTCCCACTTGTTTTTTGTCCCCCGGCCATTTTGTACTATCTGTTTAATTTCGTTTCCTCTGCTAAGCTGACTTCACATTTGTGGCTTTCAATGCAGCTCCAAGAATTTGATCATGTGGGTTGATGGTTAATCCATAACAGATGATAGAAGTTAATCTCCATTGATGTGGGAGTTTGATTGATGTTAATCTCCTGGTTTTTTGTCTAATCTCTCTCTCTCTCTCTCTCTCTCTCTCTCTCTCTCTGTGTTTTTTTTGGCCAAAACCATTTATAGATAGATGTTTAATTAATGGTTGAATGATGTTGGGAGTTTTTTTTTTTTTTTTAATTGTCCAACTGATATTTTATTGATGATTAATGGTTATCATGTATCAATGTCAACAATTGCCATATAAACGAAAAAAATGTTGACAAATAATATTTTGGACACATTATTATTTTTTTGTTAAAAATATTGTCATACAGATTTCTTGCTGTTCACTGCATTGAAAATGGTCGGGTCGGGGGTAGCATGAAAATGTTTTTCCTCATTTGTGAATGAGATAAGATACCGATTATAAATTTGAGGTTTGGAGGAACAAATTCAGGTAGTTGTTTTCTTTTGAGTATTTACTTTTTTTCTGGTAAAAAAAAATGAGTATTTACCTTTTCTTAATACATAAGGCAATTTATGTTGGGTGCAATGCTGATCTAGTGAGTGTTTCGGACTCTTAGGTGTGTTTGGGTAACTTATTTTTCACATTTGAGAAGCACTTTTTTACTTTTGGAATATGAGATGTTATTTGATAAAAAAGAATAAAGAGATGAAATTACATCTTAAAAGTACTTTGATAATGCTATTGTAAGTGATTTTCATAAATGTAAGTGTATGTTTGATTTTTAATTTGTTGAAAGTTCATTTAGTAAAAGTAAATATTTTAAAAGTTAATTGTTGTTATAAAATTTATGTTTGAATATATATTTTCAAAAGTCGGTTGGGTAAACTGAAACTTGTTTGAATTAATGGTGATTTATACTTTTGAAATTGCTTTTAAATATATAACAATAAAAATGGATATTTGTTTATGATAATTTATAATTTTTATTTTATAAATATAATATATTAGAAATGTTTAAGTATGTGAAAAAAATTTAGAATAACATATTCCCTCCATTTAAAAATATAAGGCATTTTTAATTGAGTTTCACCCTTAATAAAGTAATTACTTTCTTTTAAATTAATCTTATATTTTCATATTTATCTTTATTAAATATTTTATAATAAATATAAAGTCATTATCAATAGGGGTATTTTTGAAAAAAAAAAACAATGATTGCATCTCGAAAGGTTAAAAATGCTTTACATTTTTTAACATTCAACTTTTTAAAAAATGCTTTATATTTTTAAACTGAGGAAGTGAAAATTAATATGTTAAATGATAAGAATAAAAAAAAATATAAAGTTTGATATGTTGAAAAAATCATATAATAAATAGTTTAACATATATTAATATTGAAAATTAACATGATTAAAAAAATATATATGATACATTTTTTATTCAAAAACTTTTAAAGACCTTTATTGGTTGACAAAAATTGTAGATAACATAAAATTTGATATATTGAATAATAAAAATCTATAACATAAAATTTGATTTATTGGACAGGATTTTATAAATAGTTGAATGTACATCAATGCTAAAAATTAACATGCATTATCATTCAATGTACACTGTTAAAAATTTGATCTATAATTATTATTATTTAAATGATTATTATATTTTTAATGAATTAATAATATTTTTTAAATAAAAGAATAATATATGATACTTGAGATATCACAGTCAAATTACAGCCCACTTCTTAATCACATTTCAAAACCTCTATCATCTTACGTTTACCAAATTCACTTTCAATGACATTGTCAAAGTACTTTTATGATGTACTTTCATCTCTTTATATATTTTTTTAAAAAAACATTTCATATTCCAAAAGTTGGAAAGTAGTTTCCAAATGTCAAAAGTGGGTTACTCAAACAAGCTTCACTAATTCGTTTGATTTTCAGTTAAGATCTCCAAAAGAATTTTTGAAATGAATTTTGGATCTAGATATTGTTTGGTTTTCAATCTTTTTCAAGAAGTTTATTTAAATAGTCTTTTCTAGATGTCATTGAATGAGCTTTTAGCCAACTTAAAATGATGAATCTTTTAAAAAGTGAATTTAAAAAATGAGATATTATTTAACTATGCTACTCCAAGTTTAATCTCTTATTTTTTTATTTAAAAAATAATTAATTCATTCAAAATATAATTATCATTTAAATAATAATTATTATATATTAAGTTTTTAGCATTATAAATTAAATAATTAATTATGTTAATTTTTAGCATTAATGTATAACAAAAATTACAAGTTATTATCGCATTTTTTTTAAATTGAAAATTTAAATGGTACAAATAATTAGAGATAAATTTTTAGCATTATAAGTCAAATTTTATATTGTTTAAAATCTTTATTACATTTTTAAAATATTTTAAATATATTATATTTGTGTAATAAAAATTATAAATAATCATAAATTAATATTTTTTTAATAATTGTATATTTAAAAACACATTTTATTATTATAATTTAAATAATTTTTAATTTATCAAACTAATTTTTTAAAAAATACATTTAAATAAATAATTGATTTTTATTAAAGTAACTTTTGTGAGATAAATTTTCAACAAATGAACTTTTAACGTAGTAAAAACTAATCATTAAAAGGTTTAGAGTACGAGTATGTTGTCAAGAGTCGTGTTAAAGCGTTCCTTTTCTCGTGTGTTGACCATGCTCTTTTATGTTTATAATATAAATAACTTTTCTAATACGTACGGTTGACTTTTTTTTTTTTAATCCCATATTTATTTCCAAAAGTTCCAACACTTGCAAATGACCCTAGTCACGTATAAAGGCTGTGAATATGGTCAACTTGAACTATATGAATTAGTTCATACGGTAAGGAAAAGCTATATAGAATTTAATTCATTTTTGTAAGTGTTATAAAAATTCAAACTCAACTCTTGACAATTGGCTAACCTTTTAATCCATTTATTATTTATTTTATTTTTTATGAATTTTAAAAAAATTACACCTGAATGATGAGTTTCAATTAATTTAATATTTTTTTCATAATTCATTTTAAATATATCAAAATATTAATATATAATATTTATACAAATATATAAATTAATTTAATTAAATAAGTCATGTCTAATATGATTTATATTAACAAATTTTTTTTTTAAAATAATGAGTTAAATGGGCCAACCCTAGCTCATTAGGGTTAGCCCATGTGTTTGATGTATTATGTGATCGGGGCCAAAAAAACCCTTTTCATGTAAGTCAATTTTTTCCCAACCCAACATAACTCATATGATCAGTTATTTGAGTCAACTCATTTAACTCGATCTGTATCCTTAATTATAGTTGTGTATACTATTGGGCTCGGCTTGTTGACAGCAATAAAAAAAAAAGAAAAGAAGAAAAGAAATATTGATACAATGTCCTTTAATTTTTTTTTTTTGAGAGTCACCATCACTCTCAACAAACGAATTTTTTTTCCCAAAAAACAAAAACATTGAAAGATCAGGGATTTTCTTTATATAAAAAGATCTATATGTAAATAAGAGAGAGCGCGCGCGTAAGAGTACAAGTTTTTCTCTTTTCTTTAAAAACTTTTAACAAGCTTCCAACTAAAGACAAGATTCTGAAGAGAAGAAACGGTATCATACATTGTCGGTCTATGATATGCTCCATGCTTAAGAGACATAGATATAATGGTGTAGTAGAATAATCTTTTTCTTTCTTCTCTTGTGTGACTCTCCAACCAAACCTCCCTGCACTTTTGAATTCCTTCATGCTGTTGTGAGCATTTTCATATACTTATTATTGACTACTCCTTCCTTTATTGGTTATGAAGCAAGGTATTCTGATGGTTAGTGACCGAAAGAAAGATTTGTATTTATATTCTTCTGAAGATCAATTATTTAAATTAAAGTTGCTTATATATATATATATATATATGTATATTGACTAATTCAGAAACTTCAGGTTGTAAGAGTTGACATGCGTACGTAAATAATTTTGAAGTTTATTATCAGGTGTCAAAATTTTAAGATAAAATTGAGATAAACCAATCGATTTCTATTTATTTAACTAAAAATCTTTTCGCCCTCCATGTATGAATCTGCTATTCTATTTTAGAGTTTGTTCCTCAAATGCTGAGGAGAAAAAGTTGTTTTGGTTTTAGATTTTCTTTTGAGAAAATTTTTTCAATGCTAAAACTTAAATAAACAATGAAGAATTAAAAGAATATAGGTATGTTGCACATGTAGCTTCTGAAAACATGATTTAGTCTTTTATCATAAATCTCACATCAGGGAGCCTTACAAGTAGTTTGGGATTTATAAATATGAGGGGCTCTTTCAGCCAATTCCTTTGGGCTCGTGCTCCTTACATTGATGCTTTCATTGAGAGGCCTATGTCATGGAAAGTGCTACTCACGGAGGATTCTAAGCAGCAGAAGGCTGAGTGAAGTATTGTAGAGTGGAGCTGCTGTCGAAGTTGGCTCTTAATGGGATGGCATTGTCACGAGTTCCACATTTGGGAGCTCACAAGTGGTGTGTGGCTTATAAGTGTAAGGGACTTGTACACCTAATGGGCTAGTTTTTTGAATGGGCTTCTCTTTAGGCTTGTGTCTATTACATCCTTATTCATTGCTTCGTCTGCGTGTAATAAAAATTTACGTTTAAGTTCATCTTAAATACAAGGCCTAAAGCAAGAAAACAAGGTCAAGTTATATGTTGACTATTAAGAAATTCAATTATTAGTGAACTTGTTGAGTAGATGTGAGAAGCTTCATATAAAATAGAATTGAACTAAATAATAGATACTATAAAGTTGGAGGATTATAAGCTTAAATTAAGATTTTGAGTCAATATGTATGTATTCCACTTCTCATTAATTGCTTATATTCTACAATTGGGAGTTCTATTTCCTAATCAACTTTCATATGACAAGCTAACAATTATATAGACATCTTTATTAGCTAATTTAAATAAACAATCAAAGTATAACCATCCACTAATCATGTAAGATGAGACTTATATACTTAATCTTATATATAACTCTTCCCTTTATCCGCTAGATACAAGATAAGATTAACTCACCAAACAGTAATCAAATACTTTGTTTAAAAATCTTGGGCCCAAGACTTGTTTTGCAAAATTATCAAAATCATAATATATCATAGTACTACACAATGGAAATGAGTTATATGCATTCATAGGAACTATTGCATGCCTCTAAAGTAAAGAAACAAGGTCAGATTTTGAACTGTGTGCCGTGGTGGACAACACATACGTTACGGCATGGCACAAAGCCACAAGTCCTAATCTCCATCA